TATGCAGCCCCTTCAGCAACTGAAGAATTTGAAAGTAAATTAAAACAAAATATAATTTTACATTAAATAAAAAAGTTTTAAACTTAATTAAAATATAACATGTCTTAAATGAAAATAAGTAAACTGTCATGTTTATTGCTGCCAAAAAAAAGTTAAACGCATTTGGACAGTGAAGGAATGTCAGGATTCTTGCTCAGAAAAAGGATCAACATGCTCTGAAGTCAACAAAATATCACGATACTACACAGTATCAATTTTTTCCCCCACCCCTACTAATTACTCACAGGTTTCTCATCAAAACCACAAACACTAAAATCTCTCAATCAGCAGAATAAACACCCTGAAGCCATCCGGTGCAGCCAAACGGCAACATCACCACATGCTCACAGACCACTAACACAGCTAAGAAGATAATCCACTTGCACGCAGCCTGCTACTCACGCTGTATGTGAATAAGCTGCTTTGGCATTTTGAACTCCCCGGGGTAGAGGGACTCGTAGTGCGTGATGTTGCACTCCGCCTCGGGGACGGGGATAACCATGTTGTCCCGCTTCTCGCCATATACCTGCTGCGCCGAGATGGCCCGCTGGAGATGGTGCTCCTGAAAGAGAGAAAGAAGCTGCTGTTTAGAAAGAAATGTAAAGACTTGTGCAGTGATCCGTATCTTGATTTGTCAAGAGAAATTAGTACACAAAGAATTATTAAAAAAAGAAGAAAAAAAAGACTCTGGATTGTTTTCTTAAACTATCTTGTTTACAAGTTGACAAACTAAAAAAATCTTTTAATTACTTCAATACTCATTTTACACATCACCCCCCCCCCTCATTTCATTCTGTTGTGCATCTGCATGTACGTACAACAGTGTGTAATGGAAACAATGACAATGAGTGATTTAGTTATGATCAAAAGTTGTTTCATTATGAGGTGCATGATATCGTTTCGCTGCACAGCACTAATAACCATAAGCAGTCCAGATGTTAAAGAACGCCAGGTGCTTAAACTATTGTACTTAACAGGATAATAAATGTGATCTGTGGCCTCAGACCTCTCACATTAAAGAGATTACAGCCTAAACCTCTCACTGGACGACCTCCAGAGGAAGGTCTGCGAGGACAGAGCTGTGAAATGTTTCACGTACATAACATCGAGTATCCGTATGTAAAACCAAAGGATGCACGTCAGGACTGGCTGATATTAGCCTTTTTCTGCAAATGTCTTAGGCTGGCCAATGATTATGGTCTGGCTGGCTTTCATCAGTATATTGGCAAATAAGATGACAGCGGCTGATGTTTATCTATTGTGTTGGCTCAATTTAGCGCTGCCTAAATGTTGTTTTCATTTTGGGGATTTCTTTAGTTCCCTGGCACAGAAGAAATAATACAAAAAACATTGGCATTGCTTATTCCATCTGTCACACTGAAATACAGAATTATGAAATTCTGAGCCAATGCAGATGTTTGAAATATTTTTGGCTGATAGTAGACTGAGGTACTGTTTACATCTTGTGCCAGAAAAAAAATCTATACTCAAATTTACACCCAAAATTAACCAGGATTTCGTTTAGTTTTTGTCTTCCTGGAAATCAACACCAGGATAGTAATAATGTTTTCGTAGTTGGGCTTCATTTAGTGAAGCATAAACACCATTGTTGTTTATCAAACAGCAATAGATACGACAAGAACAATCACAGACTTCTGTTAAATAAGGAACCCCAGACTCAGCTTTGTAAATCCAGCCTTTCGTATACCTGTTTAAGAGGCAGGAAACCCCCTGCAAACCAGTTTAAAGTCTACAATCCTTTTATCACACTAACCTTTGAATGAAATAAACACAGAAACAAAACAGAAATTTACACTTAACATATAAACATCAGCTACTGCAATCTTACTTGTCAGTGCAAAGCATGATGGCAGTTGTTCAAATACAAAATGTTCCAAAACAGGAAAGGCCTGCTACATGAATGGTCATCTCTCCATCCCTTGTGAAACCCTCACTGGCTTCATATGGTGCTGCCAACATTTCCTCTTCCTCTAGGGTGTATTCATCATCAGAGTCAGGGACAAACATGTCAGCTGGGTCAAAATAAAAATCGCACTCGTCTGAACATCCTGCACCTCCTGGGTGTGAATCCTCTCCAGTTCCCTTCGCTCATTATCTTTCAGTGTTTGTGTGGCATTTCTTAGCTGTCATTTTAAACCTAATCTCAATTCATTTGTCTAGGCTTGTCTGGCAGGCAAAGCATAATATTTATCATAGTTTGTTATGTCTATATAATGTATGCCAACACAGTAATGATGTCTCAGAGAAATGAGTCATCAGCAGGAGAACAGCGTAGGAGTATCAGCAAGTGCACTGCCATGTCAATGAGTTGGGAAAGGTGAGCTTCACAGTCAGCCGAGTTGGACTTTGTAGCATGTGCTTTGTGGCAAACACCTATTGAGCACCGCTCAGGTAACCCCACTATCACTCACAACAATGACTCATTATTATTTACTGCACCTCTCAGGTGAAACAAATGGAGAGAGAGAAAAAAAAGTTTACAGATATTCTGTTGCCTATGTTGAGCCAGTGGATCGTATTAAAATACCTGCAAAGTTTCTTCAGCTGCAAATCTGGTACTCCAACTTGGCAGCAGAAGCATAAACGTGGGCAAATGACTCAGACGGTTTGACTCTTGAACTCAGCAAGTACAAAATGTTTTCATATTACACAACTGATAGTTACCTGAAATATGTGTTGTTTGGAAGAATCCCACAAAAACATGAATCTTTTTCCCCCCTGTATAAAACAGTGTCTTAATTTTCCAAACAGCATACTGCTCCTCGTAGGGCTGTGCGATATGACCAAAATCTCATTTCCCGATATAAGACTTCTATGTTCCGGTAACGATATAAATCACAAGAATGTAACATTTTCTGTAAATTCTGTGAATCTCGGGCAGCTCGACTTCCAGCTGCGCGTCATGTAGCTGGAGTCGAGTGTTTTGACCGATGCATGAAACGATACACTTTTAGACATAAGTTGTAACGGCCGCCGTTTTCTTTGTGAGTATTTATTACACGGCGTGCTGCGTAAATAATCTGCTCTTTCACGTGATTCAGTTTATTTTGAAAAGTCTCAACAGGATCTTGAGCTTTATTGCGAAAGGTTTATGTGGAAAATAAACAAGCGGACACGCGATGCTGTTACCGTCGTTGTTGCTAACCACAACGCATAAAAACAGGCGCTTGTCCGTCCGTAGTGTGGTTATATTAAATATAAGAGAAAGAGAGAAATTAATATAGCCAGTACAGTGACCATCAAAACGATGAAAAAATATTGCCGTAAACTGTTTATTTTGCGACACCACGAAACAAACGATAGCGTAAAATGAAACGATAGACGTTTTTATATCGTCATCCGATATATATATCGTTATATCGAACAGCCCTAGCTCCTCGGAGTTCAGAATCAGTGTTATTACTAAATGACAGGAGTCTAAGCAAAGCTCTCGCTGATGCACTGGCATTAAGATCTGCATCAAAGACACTGCAACTTACTAGCACTGCACGCTCACTCTGTAGCGCACAATATCTGTAGGCCTTTTATTTGTGGTGGATGCAACAGACGGCCAATCAAGTCAAACCAACTCAAGATCCGTCTTGCTCTAACAAGTATTTTAACAGAGCTCCTACTCATTTTACACTTCACACACGTTTTCTCAACGACAGTTTATTGGCTAGATTCTGAAATGTGGGTCAATGTTAAGAGATACCAACTGCGCCTGGCAAATATGACCACAAACAAGCATTCCCTGACAACGACTCAGTTTTATACACTTCCACACTTGCATGGGTGTCTGAACTGCCTTAAATATAATTCAAAGCCACGAGGAGCTCTGCATGGAGTAACAGGGGAACCATATCAGAGCTGTGAACTGGCATCAAAGGACACAGCATGTGCCCAGAGCTGAACCATCTGCCCCTTGTAAACCCATCAAGCACCGTCTACGCCAAGAAAAACATCTTATTGTGTCAACTGTGAAAGTGTTCACCACTAAGGATTTTAGACATCATCCACAACATCCTAAATCCCAGCATTTCCTGCTTGCCGCAGGCTCTAAAAGAGCACAAGAGAGAAATACGCAACTTTTTACCAAGCACTAACTTAATCACAATCTAAAGCTTGAATAGCACTCTCAACCAAGACTGAATTTGGCACGGTTACACAAATTGAAGGGTCAGGACAAAAACAAAGCACCAGATTTGGCTGCGACTGCGAGTGTGAGCAGGCTGGGCAGGCACACTTATTAAAAATTTCACACAGCCATGTTCACTGCCCACAAACACACAACTTCCTGCAAATTAGCCAACAGCTCTGTGTCATTGTACATTTAAAAAGTCCTTCCTGGGTTAAACCCAAACTGCAGAAGCTGTGGTTCTGAGCTCAGCGACGTAAAACGTTAAAAGTTAAGCTTTGCACGCACATTTTAGATCAAACTTCTCATATCTAAATTAAAAGCATAGTTTAAGTCTTTGAAACACCAGCCTGTATTGATAATTACAAGCAAAAAGTGAAGCACAATGATGCAAGAAATCAAACCACTCCAAACTAGTATTCAATTGAAATACATTTCTTACAAAATGTACTTAACTGTTGTCTGCACTGTTACTCAGCAACTGTTACAGCTTAGAGAGTACTGCTTATCAAAGCGTTGTCTACTGACATGACATGAGCTTATGTAAACTACATGATCCAATGTTTAACTGGCACAGTGAAGGATGCGTTTGCTCATAAAACCGCCACAAAGAAACTGCCCTCTCTGAACCCTACCGTTTGACATGCTGATGAACCCAGGAGCTTTGTGAGATAAGGAACCTGCATAAAGCGTGCACGTAAGGTGCCAATTAAACCTGAGCCTGGCCCAGACCTGCCTTTGCGAGCTTCTATAAAGGATATTGCTTCGGCAAGTTGCAGCAGGCAGCCCTGAGCCTTCTCTGACCTAAAGATATCCTGATCTTTCACAGCTGTGATCCTCACAAGCATGGTTCACAGCCTGGGATTTCCTCTGCAGAGGAGTTGAGCGAGTGTCGGATAAAAGGATTTTGTGAATGGCACATGAGAACAAGTGAACCAGGTTATTACGGGACCCACAGCAAAAGCCTGTGTTAGCCAAACTTTCAAGTTGATGTGCCATTATGCTGTTTGAACTTTCGACAGTTTTTGGATGCTGAAAATGCCTTGTCCCTATGGTCTTGCTTCCAAAAAAAGTAAAAATAAGAAACTGGGACTTTAAGTAAATTAAATTTTATGCTTTTTCTTATGTCCTGCTTTGTACAATCAAGTTACAATGATGAAATGAGCATATTACAAAAAGCTGAAGGTTCAAATGATGGGTTTAGCATATTTACCAGTATCATACAAGGCCTGATGCTCAGGCTCCACACTTATCTGAACACAATTTCTTTTCTGGCTCTGCATGATGTCAGTGAAAGCAGATCTCTCTCATATGGTCAAATTAGGGAACCGGCTTAGGGTGAGCACAGCGGCCACTCCCAACTTCAGGTTAATCCTTTTGTTTGTAAGATGCAGCCAATAAGAAGAAAGCTGGCTTAAATTTAGAGGAGCTTGCACAGTTTGCATTACGCAAAGGACGAACTGAGGGGCTGCAAAGAATTAGTTTGAGCAGTGGATCATGCAAAGCTACTCTAATAGCTAATTAGTAGGCTTACTGTTCATTTTATAAGAATATGATGATTCATGATCATGTATTAGCACACTATGCTTTGTGATGTATGCATTTGACTTATTATTTTGGTACAGACAACGTTTTTGGTCTTGTGACACATCTAGTGCAAAAGTGGGCACAAATAGTGAAAACAACTGGATACAAAGTAGCTTCTAACGGCTTTTCACCCGAGAAAACACAATCTAATATTGAACCTCAGATTCTCTTGTTCTTCCCACACAAAATGTTCTGGGACTCAGTGGCAGTTCTGCTTTCTGTCACGGTCACAGATGCAGATCGAGGAGAGACAAATGAAAATCTATTTTTCACAGCACCACGCGTTCCCTCCATTAAATGTTCCCAAGAAAAAAATAGACGACTCCAATAAAAGTTGCCATGGCAACAAAAGTGTGGCCTCCAGCAGGTGTTTTCAGCTCAACGTGCCCAGAGGAAGGCGAGGAAGTGAGGGTGGTGCATTTCAGCAAATCCAAGCACACACATTGTGTAAAATCCACAAGTACTGCTAGTTTTCCACAGATGAGAAAAAGTGATTTATGTTGAACAACACTCAAAATTCAGTGGAGAAACAATGTCGCTCAATATTAACCCTCACAAAACACGGCATGACGCAGGTGCATAAGTACTATATGATTAGTATGGGGGAGGGGGACGTCCTTTCAATTTAAAGCTAAAGTGGTCACGACTGCATAGGGCTGCGCGATATGACCAAAATCTCATATCCCGATATTAAGACATCTATCGTCCCGATAACGATATAAATCACAAAAATGTAACATTTTCTGTAAATTCTGTGAATCTCCTGCAGCTCGACTTGCGTGAAGTGTTTCCAGCTGTGCGTCGTGTACCTAGAGTTGGGTGTTTTAACCGATGCATGAAATGATACATTTTTAGACATAGGTTGTAACGGCCGCCGTTTTCTTACACGGCGTGCTGCAGCGAAAAGCCTGTTATAACGTTTGAGTGTAAGGTTTATTTTTTAGCATCTGGCGGCTCTTTTTTAATTCTCATCCGTAAATAATCTGTATCTTTCACGTGATTCAGTTTATTTTGAAAAGTCTCAACAGGATCTTGAGCTTTATTGTGAAAGGTTTATGTGGAAAATAAACAAGCGGACACGCGGTGGTTTTACCGTTGTTGTTGCTAACCACAACGCATAAAAACAAGCGCTTGTCTGTCTGTAGTGTGGTTATATTAAATATAAGAGAAAGAGAGAACTTTAAGAAATTTATATAGCCACTACAGTGACCATCAAAATAGTGAAAAAATATTGCCGTAAACAGTTTATTTTGCCTAATACTTGTCAAATGACCCTGTAGTTGAGCTGTAATATGGTAGCTTTATGGACGTAGTGTGCACCAGACATCATATTTGTCCATTTGGTTTTTCTGAAGGAGATCCACACGGAGCATTTTGGTGGCTGTGTTTTGTTTGTCTTTTCATGTTTCTCCTGTTTGCACAGAAGCATCCAATTTCACTGTGCCACACATTTTAGTAACACTACCAGAAATCAGTGAAAATTCTAGAAATCACTCGATGTAAGACCGTTAGTCGATTAAACAAACTGTTCAATACTTTGTGTGTTAATAAATACACAAAGAGAAATCATGACTGCAAACAGTGTGAAGGACAGATGTAGCTTCCAGGACTGAAAAGCATATACCTGACAGCCAGCAGGGGGCGACTTCTCTAGGTGAATAAGGACATCTACTGTTACAGATGGGAAAACTAGCCTCAACTCCCTTTCCCTCCATCAGTAAACAATTTCCTGCTGACTTATTATACTGAATAAAACATTGAGGCAATTCTGTAAATTATAATTAAGGACAGGAGGATTTACTGGCTGACGTATTGTGAATCATAAACTGTGGCGTCGCAGGGACAAAGTCCATCTCTAAAGCATTTTGATTTTGTAGTCAAAAATGTGGCTTACAGATTTACCTTTTGACTTCCCCAGACGTTATGGAACAATTCAATGTGAGTGTAAAGGTAACTGCCACTGGAACACACAAACTATTTACACTATGCAGGACATGGTGCAAGCAAAGATGTCCTGTTGCATTGCAAAAATAGACTGTGTCAGAAGTTAATTGCTCGCCAGAGGTTTGAAGGTTTAAATGCTGGTGAAATTAGTCCCTTGATTATATTATAACAACAACAACAAAAACTTCCACCTGATTTAGATTCTGGTTACACTTGCAAGCTAAAATTCTGAATTAAAGAGACAAAGTCATGCATATGCATTGTGACGCAACAAACACTCACAAACTGTGCCTGCTGGTAAGTTAGAACAACATAACTCTCAGCCAACATTTGGGTATTTAGTCAGTGCAACAACACCCCACTGTTCCTGGACAGGATGTGGGTCAGGGAGCTAAGCCACGCACAGGCTTGTAGTAAAACTGTCCTCTTTATCTCTTCTGTCACACTGTTATGTAATTTCTGCTGTGTATGTGCACAGCAGGTTGAGGAGGGTATGAAAGCTTGCTTTACATCCCATCTGTGGATCATGTTTGTGTCTGCTGAGGCATCTCAGGGGGTGTATAAAAGTGAATTAGAAAAATTCAGTGGGGCCGACCAGATGAGCAGGTAATGCATGAGCAACTTAAACTTTGTCTACAATCAGAAAAACAGCTTTCATTTCAGGTATAAACTCTAAATGAAAGGCTTTGTGGTCAAAACATATAGCCCAATTTGTCTACAGGCAAATGCAAATTTGTGTATTTGGATATAATTTGAATATGTGTAATCTCAAAACACGTGAGTAAAAGCAGAACAATATACTATAGTGTTAAAAAACAAGAATCAGACTAATGGCCAAACTCATGCAATTATGAAGGAAATTCAAATAATAAATAAGTAGTTGCAATAAGACACTTTCATAAGAGTAATTTAAGCCCAATTTTCAGAAACATAACTGAACTTCTCTATCGTCACCGTTTTCTTGCCATCGACGCTTCTAACCAATAAGATACTTGGAATATGGCTCCAGAAATGAAGACTACATCCGCGTGCTGCACTACACGAATGAAACTTCCCCATGAATGGCACCGTCATGGCTACACCATGCATGTCGTAACACAGTTTACAGGCATTGAACCACGTATATGTAAAGGGGTGTGCAGTTATTCATCATAAAGCAGAGCTCTGGGACATATTTTTTAAACTCCGCGTTCTCCGCGAAACAGGCAGCACACATGGCAGGGCTGTGGCTGTCAACACGAGGCGCCTAGCTGTCAACCGGGGCTGAAGGCTCAGTGTCTCCCCCTGGCATTCGGTAACGAAAAGTACACCACGTCCAAGGCCTATCCCGCTCGCCTTTACCAACGAGAAAGTCAACAAAATGGTGGAACAGATAGAGGTCACGTGACTTCTTTGTGCATTCAGGTACTGCTTAAAAGAAAATAAACGGACACAACACGGCTTACCAATAAAATATCACAATATTGCAACCTTACACAGCCACTCGTGGTGAAACGGGTTAGTAAAATTCAGTTTTCATCGAGCTCCATCGTGCGCACGAAAGAGAAAATATGGCGGCCATTTTGCACAAGCTTGCGCAGGCAACATAGCGGCGCCTCGCGCTATGAAAATGCCGCCAAAGATCCACCGCCAGTCGGGCAGCAATAAAATAACATACCGATTCCTCCTCTTTTTCCATCCCCGTTGGCATCTGCGGTACTGCCCGGTTGATTGAGGCATATTCGTGCAGGTCCGGCAAATCCTCGCAGCGGAAGACGGGCAGGGGCTTACTAGCATCCAGTGCCCGTGCCCGAAACGACAATTTACTCATTTTTATAATAAAAGATGCAGCATAAATCTATTCGATCTGCTAGGAATAACAGCAGGTCTGCCTCGAGTTCTCATGGATGAATCTGTGACGGTCTCTGAGAGTCAGCCGGTCGATTGAGGGCGGGCTTGGGTCCGTAGCAGCGCGAACAGAGCCGGGCAGGCCCGGGTCTCGATCGCTCTCTGTCGGTCTCTTTCTCTCGTAGGCACCGCTGTTCCTCCCTGGTTCAATACGCCATTGCCAACATGGCGGACATTACAAACTCATGCAGCTCACCGCTCGCTCCAAGCGGCCCAACCCCCTCGATCATACAAACAGCCATTCCCACGCAGTTTCGCACGCGTGCGCGCTCGCGAGACCCTTGGGGTACGAGAAAAGGGAGGAAGGAGGGGCTGAATCGACAGCGGGGGCAAAAACGCTGGATGCTGATGATGGGATGTGAACTTCCTAGGCTCGGGATGTTCTCATGCTGTTATACGACAGGCTGATGCTGACGTATGAAAATACATATATTTTTCATCGTCAAAAAAAAAAAAAAAAAAAGTATATATAGACATTTTTTTAAAATGTAAAAAGGACATAACGCATTCATTATGCCGCCACATATAGACAGATCGTATTAAAGACTGACACACCACCCAAACTCAGAGGTTTCACGGGTGTTTTCTAACACAGCAAGGACGCAATTCTTCAAACTTGTATCGTGTGTTAAAATTATTATGAACAACCAGAACATGCTGTATCAATTAGTGAATTGTTTTGCAAATATCGCCACCCTGTGGTGCAAACACTACACTTTTAATTATAATTGGACTGGCTTGTGTTCATGCGAATGCATAAAACGTATTTACATGGTCAGAGCCAGGAAGTAGTCCAATGTGTCGTCATCACAGCCGCAACGTTACGCCCAAATACTACAGAATATATAAAATGCTCTAGAAGGTGACCGCAACAGGAACAAAACTGGTTTAGGTTGAGCAATAAACAAATATGTATTCTGGCTTTATTTGTGTTGTTGTATGTAGTGTTCTCTCTAAACAAACAAAAATGAAGAGCAGTGCACCCTGGAAACTGAATATAAAATACACTTACTGTAAAGAAGTTAATGGCCATATATATATAAAAATGACAGTATCTTTGATATATTATATTATTATAAACTATTGATCTAATGACTGTAGTGGCCATTGAAGTACAGTGAACTCACTATCATGTTCATGAAAAGTATGATTTGGATGATTTCAGTTTCATGACCACCACAAGATGGGCACACTGGTCATTATGGGATAAATATGGTCAGTACCAGGTTAGTTCAGTTACTACTCAGGGGCCCAAAGAAAATATCCCACACAACATCATCCTGATCCATTAATAAAAAGCAGTATGGATCCACACTTTCATGTCGTTTACAACAACTTGTGACCCTTCCAAATGTCACAACAGAAAATGAAGACTCAAACCTGGCAACATTTTTCCAAACTTCTACTGTCCAATTATGGTGAGTACTTGCAAACTGCGGGCTCAGTTTTTTGTTCTTAGCTGACAAGAGTTACACTCAGTGTAGTCTTCTGAGCTGTGGATCATCTGCTTTAAGGTTCACCGTGTTGTTCATTCAGATGCTCTGTGTAACCACTGGGTATTTGAGTTACTTTTACCTTGCCCATTAGCTTAAAGCAGTGTGGCCATTCTCCTCAGACCTCTGGCATCAACACGGTACTGTCACAAAACGCACTGCTGCTCCCTGGATATTTTCTCTTTTGTGAACATTTTCTGAAACCCTAGAGATGGTTGTGTGTGAAAAAATCCCAGTACATCAGCAGTTTCTGAACTACTCAGACCAGGCCATCTGGCACCAACATCCCAGGTTTTAAGCTACTTAAACCATCTTTCTTTCCCCTTTCTGATGCTCAGTTTGAACTTCAGTAGGTTGTGTTGGCCATGTTTACATGCCTAAATGCATTGAGTTACCACTAATGAAAAGGTATATCTAACAAAGTGATTACATCCCAATATAAAAAAAAAAACACATCTGAATCCAGGAAGCGCCCTTATTTATGTCATTTTTCAAGTGCATTACTTTACTAAGTGACTTTTACTGTGTATTTCATATTTGACAATGTGCATCATCTTTTTGGTGCCTGGCCAGTAAGAATAAGAAGTACCCCAGAGTAATAACTCTTTCTAATCGGTACATACATGCCGTTTTAACCACAACAATGTTTCATGCCTTTTTTGGCAACAGAAACAAAAATACACTGGTGCATATAATGCTTTAATTTGTAAAGTGTCAATTTGCTGTGATTAACTGTAGTTTCATCTCGGCGAAGCTTCATCTTCTCATTGGTGGTTGCCAGTACAGGAAATGCTGCAGAAAAGTAAACCTACCACCCTGACTGGTCCTTCTGAGATGTAGTTTACATCTGACCAAATGTTAGATGACACATTTCTCACTTTCATTGGTGCATCATTATCAGCGTCACATTTTCTCACTGCAGAGAGCTGAAAGAAATCAGGGAAGCCACCAACTTCCAAACTTGTTCATTTCAGCAAATGTTTATCACAGCACATTTGCTGGTCCGTTTCATTTAATGGAACAATAATTAAATGCAATAGCTTCTTCATTCTTGACCTTTAAGCCATTAGCTGCGTGAATTCTTGTTTTCCATTTTTATAGTTGATCAAGAAAGTAGGCAGCCTGAATAAGGATATTTCTGGCTTTATGAACACAGCACTTTTTACTTGTAATATTACTGCTCCAAGATGATTTCTCGGCATGCAAACATGCACTATTATACACGAAGACTCAATACAGAAACTGAATATGAACTCTTACTTAGACAAGCTCCAAACTATACAATGTTTTCTTTTCTATCCTGTGCATGATGCATTCACCGTTCTGTATAAAGCAAGCCAGCCTGATCCTTCGCTGCCTTACTGACCCATCAGTAAACTAAGCTAATAGATAAGATCTGCTCAGGATGCTGGAAAGCAGAGCTTTGCCAATCCGATATTGACAGAAGCATCTGAGAGGCTTGTGTTTGGAGTGATTTCGATTTCTTCACTTTATAAAGCTAAAGATAAGGCTGTTAACCAACTCTGTAAAACCTCTACACCACAGAGCCCCTACATATACTATAATGAATAGGCACAATATTGAGGAATACAAAATGGGAAGCTTACAGTTTTCATTAAAAACTACAGCATTAATACAGATATTAGGAGGAGGCACAATAGATGGGGTTGAATGCACAGATCAGCTAGGGCCTTTTTGTGTTAAGTTTGCATCTTTTCCCTGTACATGCCTGGTTTCTCTCTACAGATACATTGGCTTGTTCCATTTCCTTGATTTCCCTGATCATTCCTGCACTGCAGCCTGTTTGTTCTTATTTTATGCCTCACCCTCCTCCCCACTTTTCCCAGTTCTCACATCCCTCATTAGTACACAAGGATCTGTCTGACCTGGGGCCACTGCCAGTCCTCACCAAGGCTTTCAATCCATAAATCTCAGACCTGCTACTAGCGAAATTGATGTTAGATTAAGCGGTGAGTCTAAATTCATCATAAATGTGAATCTATGGCTCTTTGTGTTAGCCCCGTGACAGATTGGCATCCTGTCCAGAGTTGTACCCCACCTCTTGCCCATTGACAACTGGAATAGGCCCAAGCCTTACTACGACCCTGAATTGGATAAGTGGAAGAAAACCATGGAAACCAGCTACCCTCCCCTTACAGTCTTCATCAAAATCACTGAAAATAAGAAGAAACGCAAATAACCTGAAGAGATGGGTGAACATTTTTGTGGCGATGAATACAAGATCCAGGCGAAGATTTCGGTCACAATAATCATCATCCATTTGGGAGACATAGGCTCACATCTGTAGACCATAATGGAGGCCTGTGAAACAAAATGAGTCAAAAAAGAAGAAGCGCTTATAAACATCATTATTACTGGAAGTTATTACTGGAAACAAATATAATTTCTAAGCCCAGAAGACATCTCAGCATCTGCTGTGAGATTATTTTCTCTATAGGACACTTTAACTCTGTATGCAGGTTTACAATGGAGAAAACCTCGACAATTTCTACATCTGCTATCTACGTATACACTAACGCTGCCAAGTAAACGTTTGTACGGATGAATTTTTCCATATCCATTGGCTTTGGACTGTTTTGAAGCACACAGAGCAAGTTTTGCTCCAGCAATAGAGTACACAGTCGAGTAAGCCATATATGGTGGAACAGATGGGTAAACAGAGCAGGACACGACAGCAAAAAAGCTGTAAGGTATCGTTTTAGCAAATGACAAGCAATTGGGCACCGCTTCGACCCCGAAAAAATGAGTTTTCGAGGGCTTTTTAATTCGTTCAGTTCTCAAGACCAGACACAGCTGCTTGCACAAAGAACAGCGATATAGATGCTAGCTTAACGCTAGCTTAGCCCAGTTACCCTGACCCTGCGCCATTTACTAGCCAGCTAACAGTTTGCGGACAGCCACCAACAGTTTCATTCGAGCTCGCAAGTGACTTTAAAGCCACAACTTTCGCTTCCCAAGGATACAACACGGGGAAAACAAGCTTGAGCTTGACTCGCAACTTACCCGATGCCAGCAAACCCACAGGGGAGGAGGAGGATGGTGATGGTGGCAGTTGTTCTTCTGGCTGTCATGCTAGCCTAATGCTAATGCTTGTTAGCTCCCTTCTAGGACGCCTCAGAGGGAAAAAAAAAAGAAGGATATTCAGTTTCTTTTTATATATCTGCAAATGCCGTTGATGCAAAAAGAGAGGTAATTGGAAGCCAAAGCAAGGGTAAAGGAGGAGATGTCCTGTCGCTGACGAAAAACTTGGTTAGTTAGCTCAGGTTACTTCGATAAAAAAAAAAAACCCAAAACGATCCAAAGTGACCACCAAACCACTTTACAGGCGGATTGTGATTGGACGGTGAAAGCCACCAATCACCTGTGGAGAACTCGGGGAGGATGAGCTCACTAGTAACCCCGCCCACCCACGAATAACAACAACATAAGTAACAATAATAATAATAATAGGAAAAATGTTGTCATGCATTAATGCGAATTTATTACGGTAGTGTGCAAATAATAGGATTTAAATAGGCTTTTAAACACAGACGGAGTCAAAGGGCAAAACTTATTAGAGCCACTTACTGAACAGCAAATAATCAGATACATTTTTTTCACAACATAGCTGCAGTATTTGTTACATAACTGTCTCCTGGGCTGGTCACCTCCCTCCACCGCCCTCTGCCCCTCCACTAGTTTTGTCGCAGGGCAGGGCTGCTCCTGCTTCCTTCTTCCTTCCTTTTCTGATGCTCTGATATCTGCACTGCACATTTTTCATGATCAGACACCGTCCAAAGAGAATGCTGCATAGTATAGTGGAAGCATATGGAGTCATTTTCTGTGCTGCTTCAACACCACCACCACTGCTGCTGCTGCTGCCGCCACCGCTTCCCACCT